ATTATATGTATTAATATAAGATATATTTTATAGAAACAATAATTTTTATAACAAATATATTATTAAATCTCAAAGGAAAATTATTTATTTTTAATTCTTTGCCAATGAGTTCTCAAGGTAAATGGTATTAGTTTTATTCATGTGTAAATTTGAAGCATTAAAAACATTCTAATTTAAAAATAAAATTTTTGAAAACATAACTATCAACTAGACAAGTTGAGGGATGGTAGTGGAAGTCAATAACAAGACAACAATATATCTCTATCTATTCTACATATACTATTTGTTCTGCTTATTCTTCGTGGAAGTTATATCAAATTTTCTTTTTACTTTTAAACATGTGAGTGCTTCCTATAATTTTACTTGGTGAAGATAATTAATATAATTAATATAATATTGAGAATTAAAGTGTTAACATTATAATTTTATCTTTAAACAAGGAAATGAGAAAGAGCAGCAAAATATAGCCTGTTTATTTATTTGTTTGCTAAATGATGTAAAGGATGTGGAAGAAAAGGACAATGTTATAGTAAATGTTTTCATTTATTGTTTAGTGTTAATTACTGGACTTATAATTTTCATTCTCTCATCACCTGCTTTCAATAGGTGATATTACAAATAAAATATATTTTTCTACCCTGATATTACTATTATATAACGAATGTTATTATGACTACATTAATATTTTAATGATCGGCAGCCAAAAAATTATCCACTGTATCAAAATTTGTGTTACGTATACTCTACCCTTAATGTTAAGGGATAAGCAATTAATGATTATAGATGATCTGCACCGTAGAATGTTGCACACCCCAATGCCTCATGTTATTATTATTTTTAGCATTCCTAATTTGGTACGTAGTACCGAATATTTCATGATCGACATAATATTTGAATAAAAAATCAACTATTATTATGCATGATGAAACTATAATAATAAAAATAATAAACTATGAAAAAGATCACTTATCGACTTTTCCTTTGAAATTATTGGTCACATCTAATTGATCAAATCGAGATCGATCATGTTATATATGGGATAAAAAAATTTTTAGATATAAAAAAATTTTAAAAAAAAGTGTAATTCAAAATTTTTAAAATGGAAAATGAAAATCATGTTAAAGACTTGGAGTTTTCCGAAGCTTTACATGACCATAAAAACGAACGATTAAGTTTTATTTCAAAAGCTATTTCAAAAGATAAAGCTGCGTATGAAAGTGTTGTTAATAATTATATGAATTATTGGGCAGGAAAGGACCCAATGACGGAAAGCGAAAATGATAAAGAAGCCAGAAAATCTAATTATACAAATTTAACAAATTCTTATTATAATATTGCTACTGATTTTTATGAGGTAAACATTTCAATTTGACAATTTGATAAAGATTGATACTAACACTTATCTTTATTATTATTTAATTTAATTAGTATGGTTGGGGTGATTGTTTTCATTTCTGTCGTTTCTATCCGGGAGAAACTTTTTATCAAGCAATTGCACGTCATGAACATTATTTGGCAATGCAATTGAATGTGAAGCCAGGAATGAAAATTTTGGATGTAGGTTGTGGAGTTGGTAAGCAATTGTATATCTTATTTGAGAAAAGTCATTATGGATATATAAAAGGATATTTATGTATTTATGTATTACACAGGTGGTCCAGCAAGAGAAATTTGTCATTTTACAGGTGCCCACATAACTGGCATCAACAATAATGATTATCAAATTCTTCGTGCAAAAAACTATGCAGAAAAGGTCGGATTAAATGATAAAACAGCTTTTGTTAAGGGTGATTTTATGTGTATGCCATTTGAAGATAATAGCTTTGATGCTGTCTATGCAATAGAAGCTACATGTCATGCACCAAAATTAGAAGGTGTGTATGGTGAAGTGTTCCGTGTTTTGAAGCCTGGTGGTACATTTGCTTTTTATGAATGGTGTTTGACTGATAATTATGATTCCACAAATCCTGAACATAGAAGAATTGTTCGTGGAATTGAGGTACATATTAATAATAATTAATGATTTGCTAGCTGATTAATTGGCTATTAATAAGAAATGAAAAATAATAATATTTATTCCATATTTTATTAGTATGCTAATGGTATACCAGAGCTGTTTTCAAGCAGTCATGCAGAACAAGCTCTCAAAAATGTAGGATTTGAACTTGTTTTATCCAAAGATTTGGCTGATAATGATGACCCTATTGCTTGGTACTATCCCTTAGAAGGAGATCCTAGAAAAGCACAAACTTTTTGGGATTTTTTTACAATTTTTAGAATGACTAAATTGGGAAAATTTTTTACAAGATCATTTGTATGTTGTTTTCTTTATATTTTATAACTTTTTATAATCAAGATTGTTTATTGATTTTTTTTTAAAATTAATTATAGGTTTCTACACTTGAAAAAACAGGCATAATGCCTAAAGGAACGCTTCAAACACAATATGTGTTGGAAACAGCTGGTGATAGTTTGGTTGAAGGTGGTTATAAAAAGATATTTACTCCAATGCATTTGATGACTTGCAAAAAACCATTAAAATAACTTTTATACTAAATGTATTTTAATACATATTTATGGATAATTATTTAATTATTTAATTATTACATCAAATAAATAAGATTCTCAATATGTGTGTGGAATTATACAAAAACTTAGATAGTGGAGTATTTTATCATGATATGTTATTCTTATTTGTAATTCACCAATTCGCGAAATTCAAACACTTTTGCCACCAATAACTTCAATTTTTTTTTATTTTTTGAAATCAGGAAAACCATCAATCATATATTCCTATTGCTTTGACTATGACTTATAATAATCATAATTGGAAAATCGACATTTCAGACCTGGTTTCATTAATAAAATCACAGCAAATCTATTTTTTTTTTCATAATAAGACCCTAATTATTTATTGAATTAATTTGTTGATCTGTATTCTTGGCTCTTGTGTAGTTTCTACCTCTTGACTTGTAAAAATATCAATTGTATTTGGTAAATGAACTACTTTTGTTAATGTTTTAGTTACTCCTCACATTTTATCTGTTTTTAAATAATTATCTATTCCCCTTCCAACATTTCATCTTTTTAAAATGCTCTTGGTTGATATAGTTGAAGTAAAAATCTGCTATTGGTGAATCACTTGCATTTCTGGGTCATATAAGTTTTAAAATGTCTAGTTTCATAGCATTTGAAAACCTTATACTTTGGATCAAAAAAGATAGTCTAATATAACCTTCATTAACCTTCCTCTTAAAATCTCCTTAAATGATTTGTACTCTTGTCATTCCAACATAATATGATTTCCCAAAATATATAATAGGATTGTACCATTTTTTGGGAGGTACATCTTTAATTATTTGTCTTTTTATTTGTCTTGTAGAAATATTCTTAGAAATAGGATGCCCCTTTTTCATTATTAGAAGTTAATGGTATTAAAAACATAATGTCCACTATTAAGTGTCATTCTTGTTGTAACTTTACACAGAGTTACAGAACCTACAGTTTCATATATTGACTTATGAATTCAATATTTACAATTCTAAAACAAATAAAAAAACCTATTGTACCTTTTCAGTTCTGTTTTAAAGTTATTGTCATTGTATCTTTGTATCAGAGTAACTACTAAAGTAGTTGGTTTGTGAACTAATATAGAATACTGTGGGTTTTCATAAAAAGTATTTGCATTATTTATACATCCACCAGCTGTTGTTCTTAATAGATCATCTACTATGTAATATTGTACCATATCAATGTTTCCTTAATGTAAAATATGATGTATTGAGATGACAACAAATTATTAATTTTTTTAAAAATCTTTGAATGACTAAATAAATAAATACTTATTATTAAAACTAGGAAATTTATTAAATATAAAAACATTATATAAATTAATTGATTACCATTCAAAATCACCATCTTCTGCAATTTTAAACCTTTTGGAGTACAATTTTTTGTCATTCTGATGAATTGTCAGACCCGTCTACTATTCCATTCAATTTCACCCCATGGATTATGTAATTTTATAGAACAATTTCTTTATTTCTTTTAAACATATTTGGTTTTATATTGCCATTCCTATAATTCCATACACATACTAATTAGTAAAATTTTACAGGATAAATTTTTTTAATTATTCATTTATCTCATAAATAAACAAGTGTATATTAATAAATATACTAAATTATTTTAAAATTACCCCAATCACTAATCTGTTTGGTGATCTTTCTTGCTTTATTTCACCTTCAAGAGCATTAATAGAGCAACTCATTAATGCACCTGTATTATTAGCAAGTTGCAACATTGCTATGAATTTTTTATCACCCATTTGTTTTAAAACATCATCATGGCAACCAACATCAATATCAGATTTTAATTCAATTGTTCCAGGAACAGTTCCAATCAAATCAACTAATGCATCCGAAGCAGATCCTGCTTCTAGTGCCTCATAACATTTACATAGTTTTGCATAAGCTTTCTCTAAAAGAGAACACCACATCTCGTTTGGATATTTAAAATGAGAAAATATTAGACAATTATTTCTTGTGGGAAGATAAATCATCTACAACTACTTCAATCCCAAACCAATAAAAATGAAATTTAAATATACCTATTATAAAAATAAAAATATAATAAACAATATTGTAATAATCAACTAGCACAATAATTAATTTACTTGAATGGCATTCAGTACCTCGAAAATTATATACACTCAATTGTTTTCCAGGTTCGTTACTATGACACCAATCTTGATCAATCCAATTAGGTACAACTTTATGAAGTAAATTTGGATGAGCAGCCAAAATACTCAATGCTTATTCTGACCAAGAACTACTATCAATGTTACTTTAATAATAATACTATTGTTGTTGTTGAATTATTAAAATTTAATTATAATACTTAAAATATTGATTTTTACTTATTCAACACATCGGTATTTAAATTTCCATTGTTGAGGATAAATAAGTGTGGATTTTTTGAAAGTTCTTAATGATAATAATTAGTATCAATTGAAAAACTATTAAAACTATCAATTTATTACCTTACATCTTTTCCAATTTACTGGTTGATGAGTCGATTTTGAAAGATTTGGTCTTAATTTCTAGATTGAAGAATCATTGGGTGGAAAAGTAACATCTTGAAAATGTGTATCTGTCCTTGCGTGATTTAAAAAAAATTTTTTATAGTTGACCAAAAAGTTTTTTATATTTGGGTGCCATTGGATTAATGGATATTATTTTAATAAGAGAGTTATTATTTATAATCCCTAGCCCATTTTGTATATTTTTTTAACACAACTAATTATTTCATTAGTTAGCATTAATTCACAAATCTTTTGATAACAGTCCTCGGACATGTCCGAGGTATTTATTATGAAAAAAGATTGTTTCATTCATTAACGCGATCACTAAAGCCACAATAAATTTTAATTAATACTATATAACTATCTATTACTATATACAGAAAACACATATATCGAAGAAAAAACATATATAAAGAACATTAAACCGTTCCGAAAGTTTTGAGGGTGCTTTCTAGTGCTTGTAAACGCTTGCTAAAATTTTTGGCTAAGCAAAGAAACGACATATTTCCCATGTTACAAATTTTGCAAAATTAAAAAAAGTTAGATAATTCTTTTCTTGCGTTAAATTGATATTAATATATAATATTGCATGCAATATTTTAATCATAAAACAAATATATTATTCAAAATAATATTCATTATTCGTAGTCATTATTACTGTTTTTCGCCTCTCATGATCTTGATTATTAGTACCTGGAATATTTTTATCGCCTAATTTTAATAACCATCATAATAATAATAAATTATCTTGAATAAACGTAATATTAATGTAAACATTTATTTCTAGAAAATATATCTTATACCTTTCTTTGATACTTTTTTTGGCAACAAGTTTTGATGGATGTTTGGCAAAACACCTCCTTGCGCAATTGTGACTTGACCAAGTAATTTATTTAATTCCTCGTCATTACGAATTGCCAGTTGTAGATGACGGGGAATGATTCTTGACTTTTTATTATCACGGGCAGCATTTCCTGCCAGCTCTAAAATTTCAGCTGAAAGGTATTCAAATACTGCTGCTAAATATACAGGTGCACCACTTCCTATTCTTTGGGCGTAATTACCATTTCGAAGAAATCGATGGATCCGACCTATAGGGAATTGCAATCCTGCCTGATGATAATGTTATTAATAAGCACAATAATCATTATTTCCAAGAAATAATAATAAAATAGAATAATAGAATTATAATTACTCTTTGAGATCTGCTTGTTTGTTTACGTCCTATACCAACCGCTTTACCTTGTCCTTTACCAGTCATTTTGAGTATTACGATAAAATAATTTTTTAAAAGAAAAAAAAAATCAAATAAATTTTATTTATAATTTTGAGAGAAAATTACGATATTTATACAGTGCAGGACACCTAATCCCGCAACTTACTGCGCCACGACGACGAATTTTGGGAAAAAATTTCCAATCAAAAAT